GTTAAAGTCCAAAATGATCCAATATGTTTGTTTTCAATTATTTCGTTACATCTTTCAACACTTTGAAGAAGCAGGTTGAATACCAATCACAAACAAACGACCAAACAACTTTTTAAACGTTCGTATTTTCACATATTTTTAAAGTTCACACTAAAGTTCTGAACATCAATTGTCAGCATTTAAGCAAGGATCTCCCAACTTCGAGCTTAAGCTTATCATCCCATTGGGTTTATTAATGCATACTAATAATAATATCATTTCTTGATTAACACAAAACTCAAAATAAAACATGTGCTTGTCACTTCTAGATCTCCAAACAGACAAATGAGTCAGAATACATAGGTGGAAGCTTTTCACCGTACGAAGAATTATTTATTTAAAATACTTAATCTTGATCTAGTCAAAAGTCAAAAGAAGGGTATGATATTTGGTTTAAAAATTGTTGTTATTTCTTGAAAATGATTATGGACACTGTGCTTGTCAAGTAACGGACTGTTTCAATACTAAAGTTTCTTTTCAGAGACGGGATTTTTCTACTGAAAGTGTTTGGGGGAAAGGCAGTTTTACAAGACAAAACATAATCTCTTCTTTTCGTTTTCCCCCCCCCCCCCCTCCCCGTTTTTTAAATAGTTTTTCAGTCATCTCAGCTGAGAGCAAAATTGTTGTAAACAAAGTCGATGCTTCCTTAGTAAGGATACCGTCAAAAGAATAGGTCTTTTGTTTTGACTACAACGTTCGCCTATTCCCATTTAAAAATACTTTTAATTAATTATCAATCTCCGTGTAACCTGTTAGACCCACTCAGCATCTATATTGTGCATTTACCTTTGTATGCCTGTTGAGAAAAAGGACAGCTTCCTTCAATCGACGAGGTATTTGACATTATAAGGTATTTCGTAGGGAGGCGGGGGGGGGGGAGGTAGGTTCAACTCTAATCAAACAAAAAACTATTTGATACAGTTTTGAGATATTGAGTATGTCGAGGAATTACTTAATCGCAAAGGGAAGAATTTGCCAGCTGTCTTTAACAAACGTTCTTAATGTCCGCACATTTTGGTGTTAAAATTCATACGAGAACATGTGAACATGTTATTTATTGTGTTTTCCAAAGAGTGTTAAGGGCACTTGCAGTAAATTTCGTGCATACAGGTGCTGAAAAATATTAGATGAGCTACTATAGAGTAACAAACACAAAAGAAGGGGGAGAGATAAGGAAGATAAATTTTTAGTAGAAAAGAAGGAGCAAACAACGCCACTGCAACCGCCAACCACCCAAGCTTGTATTTTAAACGTACCCTGTTGGTTATTTTTGTTTAAAACATACATGTAGTAGCGATCATAATAAAGTCGACAACACGAGTAGCACAGTAATAATGTTTAAGCTGGAGAACATTCCTATAAGACTTTAGGGTCGGGTTATTTTTTCAAAAAGTCTATATTGTTGTCTAGTGACCAATGCTAATAGTGTGCATATTCAGGTACCTCATTTAAAAAAATTGAAATTGGATATGGAAAAAAGAATGAAATACGAACAAACAGACACAATCATGGGAACACAAAAATAAATTGGTGATCAAAAGAATAAACAAATGCAAATACATTTACATAACCAGTTACTCTTTAGGTTACAGAATTTCTCCTGGAGCAGACAGACAGACATGAAATCTCTGAACTTACCATGCCAGTGTTGAGGGTCACGTTGAGCTTCTCTAGGCGCTGGAATCTACGACGTTCTGGGACTCTGGAAAGTTGGTCGTCGGGCCAGTTTCTCATGCATGTGTCTATAGTACTCACATTTAGACCGTCAATCACATTATTTAGACCGTCCATCACATTATTTAGACCGTCCATGCTTATTTCCGTACAACACTCAAGGGTGTCCTGAATAGAAAAAGTATCGTAGTCTACATCATTGTGCGTTTTCTTAACGAAGCTCAAGGTGTCGTTACAGGGGCGAGTCTGGTGAGATCGAGCAGTCTGACTCACTGTGAAATATCCAGTAAGGGAATGTGAACCTGGAAAATAAATGTCGCTGCTGTTACTGTTACTCTCTTCGAATTGTTCAGGCTCAACCCAACTGTGATTGAATCTTTCAGAACAGAGCTCGACCATGGAGAGGTTACTCCACTCTTCCAATAATGAAGCAGACTGCAGTTCCCTTCTTCTTGGGAGTGATGAACTACTTGCAATATTCCTCGCCATAACGAAATATGATGTTTCTACTCGATACACAAAGACAAGTTAGTACAGTAAGTATTATTTTTTCTCACTCTCCACAGTCACACAAGTGCACAGTATATGACTAACAAATGATGAAATAACCACTGATTTAACTTGACTTCAACCAGTTTCAACAATTAGTAAATAAGGAATCGTGAAAACTCCAAAACGCACAACCAAGGTTACAAGAAACACTGAGAAGATGGTCACCAAAACCACGTGGGAGCAAAAGACGCAGAAACACTGTGCACGGGTCAACGCAGTTATGGACTTATACCCCGCGCTTAAAAAATATTGACCAGTCAAACCTGTCACACTCTGCGTGGCAGCCAGGATCAGCCAATGAGAATAGGCCTATCACGCTCGTGTGGAACGTATTAGAAAAAGGGCAGGGTTGTGAATAGAAAACATTGTATGTGCACTGAAGACTTGGCACGCGAAAAAAGAGCAACCAATAGAAATCGGAGGGTGGGATTGTAGGTATTCAAGGTCATGTTGTCAGCATATTATATAGAACGCCTACAAACAACAAAATATTGACTTTTTCTATAGAAACAGAAACTTGTCACGAGTTTCCCGACACCCAGGGGCAGTCAACAGGAAGGGACATAAGCTTGAGTTGAACTCTGGTTGATAGAGCGTACGTAAATTGTTTCAAGTAAAATTAAATAGAATTTTAAAAATTAAAGCATTGTCGGTCTTTTTATTCAACAGATTGAATAAAATTGTAATTTTACTTGCAGGTTATTAATGAAATAGGAAACAAAAAATAGTAGGAGAGGAAAACACCATTACAATACCACTTGCATTTGGTAGAGGGTAAAAATAAAATTGAAAAGTAAAAGTGGAATCCGTTTTACAATCATTTCATGTAAGTGAAATGCGCTTTGGACTGAATTTTATACGGTATTTGGGGGGTCTCGTGGTCTAGAGGTATATGGGGAAACCCGACTTGTCAAAGCATATAATGTGTGTTCGTCGTTGTAACCCAAATTTCCCTGAAGAAATCAATTAAAACGTTAATAATTTGTATTACTCATTTATGACTCAGATGTGATGTCTCGTAGAAGAAAACAATGTCCACAATTATCTTCAGTGGCACTTTCAGATATTATTTTTTTAAAGCATTAATGATTTTGGGACAAGGTTTCTTGTCTTGACGATGAGCACATTTATTGTCCGATGTCGACAATGTCTACTGAATCAAATATCTTCTGCGAAAAATACGACAAATTCACGTTTAGCATGACAATTCTTTCTTTTTTTTTTTGGGGGGGGGGGGGGGGACGAGTGAGCGTTTTACTACGTTGGCAACTGCATAAGGTCATAATATGAGCGCACGGGACACATTTAACATTTTCAGTTGGTAGGAAATTTTTAATGTTTGCCCGGGTGGCGGCCAAAACCTACTCTCATCAATTTTTTTTAACCCCAAGGGATCTTTAACGCGCGCAATTTGCACACGGGACCTCTGAGATTTGTTGCCCTTGTTCGAGAAGGCTAGGTGTAGATATTTCTTTCCATTAGATCAGGGGTGTGGCTGAAAAACAGCAGTAAGAAGGGGCCATGGTATAGCAGTAGAAAGGCTGCAAAAAGATTCGGGAGCCGAAGGGAGGGGCAAAGGAGGTGAGGGGGTGGGATCAGAAAGTGAGGACGAGAGCAGACGACGAAACATTGCTAGACAGCAGGAAAGGAGGTGAAAGAAGACAATTTTAGAGATAAAATATTTTCGTCGCTATCTGGATTCGACCCCAGTACCTGTTGAATGAGAGGGGAAAACCTTAACGTCTAGGTCACGAGAGCCCCCTGACAATACTTGAGTGACCACTTGAGCTGTTTAATAGTAATACAGATTTTTCAGGACACAAAATCGTGTTCTCGAACATTGGTGATGATCATACAAACTAGTTTAATAAAGCAACACCACGTTGAAGCCCTTTGGCGTCGTCAAAGCGTAATGTTTTGTTGGTTGCCAGGGAGAACAATTTAAGAAATCTAATATGTTTGAAAGTTAACCTGTGATTGATGCACGCGGATAAAAAGGCTGTTTTCCATGTCCATAAATGGATGCAGACCTTCCTTAGTTAAATGGGTACGCCATTTCAATTTTATTGCTTCCTGATTCGATATATCTCGCAATTTAATTATAATATTGACTTTGAAGTTAAAGGGAAAAAAGCCGCAGTTGAGTTTGAAGTGTGAACTTCATTGTTAATGGCCGGTTTCCATATAAGGGCTGGTACCATAGAGTTATCCCTTTGTAGACTTAGCCAGGGGCGAAGCGTCTATATAATCAAATAATCCCTGCTTCCCTTTCTAATTTTGAAACATTGTCGCTGTCAAATTCATCCTTAAACGTAAACCTCATAAATTAAATGTCAAAAGACGTTCGTAATCAACAAATAAAGTGAGGCTGGAATAGAGTTGAAGGGAACATGTGCATGGCAGTCAAAGCTGTTTCATTGCCACATATACCCTGTTCACCCCTTTGGGGTCACAGTTAAAATCAATCACCAGCCCTGATTAAGTAAGTTAACTAACACTGGTCGAGTCTACCTCACAAATGTGAGGGGAACTAACTCTTAATAATCTCTTGACTGCTGCTTGTGCTTGTTTTTTTTCCTCGACTTTTTACCGTCCTATAATCAGATCGTGACCTCGATTATGACACCAGCTCCTGGCCGCGAAAGGCTAACAAAAACAGCCAAATGTGAAATTTTAAAAATAATAATTGTCATGTTCTACCAAAGAGTTAGACTCACTGGTAGATCTATAACATATAGATCTAGTACTGACATCTCTGCTTCTTTGCTTTATGTTTATGTATTCACATCTAAAGTTAAGTTTAATTTTAGTGGGAACTGATATTTAATAAGATACTTTCCCGATTATTTTGGCGGTTGAACATACAATATGAATTCCGGATTTGTTTTCATTCACAACTCAGAGTCGCCGCCTCGAGTAAGATTCTTGTGTGATATCTACAGGCCCTATCTGGTCCCATTTCACTTTGATTACCCTGTCAAACAAGTCAGCCTTCGCCCCTGGACTTAACACCGTACCAGGTCACATGACACGGAAACTTTCGAGTTCGGTGGCGGCCTTGTTTGAGTTGTATATCTAGTTGTCGAAGGGAACATGTGCACCCTATGATTGACCTCTCACCACGGGTGAGACTTGCCAGCGTTGGCTATTCTCACCCAGTGTGAAACAAGACCTGTTTTTCCTAATTTCGAAATGCTTTCTATCGGTGTGGATGATCAAACTGACAAAAGCAAAGAAAAAAATGACGTTATAGCACAAAAGTAAGCTAATTTGATCGTCTACAAAGATGCTATGGCTCTTTCACTTTTCGAATCGACCGAACTACGCGGGTCGCCATTTTGTTTTGCCCCAAAAGTTCTCGCAAGATCTACTCCTCCCCCCCCTCTCTCTCTCTTTCTCTCTCTCTCTCTCTCTCTCTCTCTCTCTCTCTCTCTCTCTCTCTCTCTGTCGGCAATTTATTAAATCTGCAACCTGCAATTAGATTGCAACTAACATCAAATAAATTCGTGTGGTGCAGATGAGTAAAGAGAGAACAAAACAATCTCTCTATTGCGACTATCATTGCACATCACTACGCCTAATACATGTTCCGGTAGATTTAACTACCTATAAATAGATGGAAGTTTGACCCGTGTCAAAGGTTGGGGGTGGCTGACGATTCGGGAGGTGGCTGCGGGTTGACGAAAGGGAAAAGCGCGACGCCACTATCGAAGGGGCCTTTGCGTTCCAAAGCGAGGGAGAGGCGTACTGTATCTAGCGTACTAGCAGGAGCGGTTTGTTAACTGGGCAAGACCGGCGGTGCCGGTCAGATTTTTGTCAACTGAACTGTTGACTAGAGGTTTATTGCTGATGACGATTTTCATTCAGTTTTAAGTAAATCCAAACAAACATGTATCAACATTCAAAAACACCTTGCCGGTTTGAAGGCGCTCAAATAGACAAGGGGGATTCACTGCTGTTTTGTCGCGACATAACCTCATTCCTTCACGTTTGTTATCGCGCCGGCTCGTAACTTTAAATCGTCTCCCGTCAAACCGTCACGTCGCGGAACTTCGTACTACGCACGAGGCCAAACACACGGCGGGCTTGGCTTAGGTCTAGCGATGACGTCAGTCCCATGGACAAATCCATCGTCAGTCCACAGAAAAATTAGTATATCCCTTAATTGCCAGATTGGGCTCTTTGTAGCTTACAAAATTAAGAATGAGACCGTCTTGAGCAGCACAGACACATGTATTATTTTATCAGCAAAACATGTATTTATCATTAATACTTTCTCTAACTACTATCAGAACATTTATTGTCAGCATGGCACTACTCTTTTTTGTTTATTGGCTTTTTAACCACCTATAGTTCCTGTTTGGCATTTACTCATCGTTTTCTCCCCACTAATAACTTACCTGGCCCTTAGGAGTCTGGCCGGCGAAAGAAGGAATCGTCTAGTGAAGATATATAAGGAAAATTTTAACGAGGAGCGATAGACACTCGGCTGTCAGAGTCTGGGCCGAAAACCCCCTCCCTTCCCTCCCCTTTTCAACCCTCACCCCAGCTAGACCACAAGTTCTATAATTAGCATTTGACACACTTCCCCACTTTGTTACAAGTTACAAGACAGTGTTCAGTGTTCAGTTCTGAGAACTGAGAAGTGCAATGAAGTACATTTGATGATATAATGATCGGAAACTTGTGTGCTTTGTCCAGCTTTGTATAGCATCTGATTGTAGACTTGATCTGCTTGGGACAGCGTCACTGGTACAGTAGCAATTGACTTTTTGTCATCATACAGGACAGTTCTTATTACATATATTTAACGGGTTCAGTGCACGTCGATATTTTGTATGGGGTTGTAGAAAGTACGAGTAAAGTACTGAACTGGAGGCCAGGACCAGCGATTTATTGCTTCTCACTTTCAGATTGTTTTCTAGCTTAGACTCAAGTAGTGTGTTTCTTTTTCTGTGCCGATCAAGTGAGTTTCTATTAATCTCAGTAACTTCCATCTTACATTATTCATAATATTGTTTCTTGACGCTATCGCATATTTTAGCTCTTTCACATTATATTACAATGTTTACTGTTGTGTGTGTGTGTGTGTGTGTGTGTGTGTGTGTGTGTGTGTGTGTGTGTGTGAGTGTGTGTGTTGTGAAGGAAGGGGGTTGGGGAGGGAAAAATAGTCGACGTGAATGACCGCCGGTCAGTTTTATAAACCACGAGCCGCCACTGTGTATGTGTACATATGTTAATGCGCGTGCCTGCGTACATGCGAGCAAGGGCGCACAAAGAGAGAAAGAGAAAGAGGAAAAAATTATATCAATGAGAATTTGTTATAGTTAAAAAAATGTTTCACAATCATTTAGGAAGCAGGCTGTCATAGCCATGCAAAGCCAAACTGAATGGGACTCACTATCCCAGCAGTAAAACGGAGATGCGTGATAAAGTGTACTTGATCCCCATTCGGGAATCGAACTGAACAACGTACGTGCACCAGCTCAAACAGAGCTCCACAGCGTGCTCTCATCTCGAATGTGTACACACGGTAGGGAAAGTGTCAAGTTTGAACCAAAAAAACCAAAAAACCCTGAGTGGTTGGCGGGTGCTCTGGTGTGGTTGCTCCTTCTTTCCTATCAACATCTATCGCCCTTATCTCACCTCTTTTCTTTCATTTGCATGTTACTATCTAATAAAACCTCTAATCTTTGGCACATAAATTACTTCATTGTGTTGCAAGTGATGTAAAATTCTTCCTAAAACTTAGGGGGAAAATATGCGCTTGTTGTGTTAGCTGTTAGACTAGCATTTGCGTTTGTCGCGGCCCGACCCGCGAATCGCGGCCTAGATTTTTCCATTTTTCAAAACAAAACAAAACAACAAAGCAATTTCATAACATATTAGACACGCATTTTGAAAGTTTTAAGATGTCCATGTGTATCTATATTCATGCGGAGAATAAAAGTACCTTACATTATACACTATTTATTGCATTGCTGTCTGTCTTTTATTTTTCCCTCTTTGTTGCGTTTTAATTTTTCTAAAAATTGTTCTAAAGATTTTTTTCTTTTTTGTGTGTGTGTTTATACAGCGTAATGTCATTAAATTTAATGCTGTTCCTACCTTTTTAAAAATATGTGTTATGTTAGAGCATGTTTTCACCAAAACCGAATATTGACAGTGGCAGCGCCCCTTAATTTGTGTGTGATTCCATAATTTACATGAATATCCTGTAGGCCTACCTTTTCTTAAATTACGCACGTTTAGGGTTAAAACAGCCAATCTTCGGATAGGTGGACCCTTATTTGTTAATTTTTGTGGTTGTTTATCCGTGCTGTTCTAATTTTGATTTCATTCTATTGTGAAATCTTTATTTTTCACGTTTTAACCCTATGGGTGACTACAAATGATATTCTGGATGCTTAAAACAGAGCACAAGAATTAATTATGGTGCTTTAGATTGTTACCTCTATCAACATATTGCTATACGTCACAGAGAGTTGACAGCTTGAAAATTAAAGACAACTTTTTTGGCAACTTTTGACACTTTTTGTGGCAACTTTTGGCAACTTTTGGAGAAAAAAATGGCAGCAAACGCAGATGCTAGGATAGAGGAATTCTTCATTGAGTTTGATTTTTTTTTTTAAAGTTTCCTTGCACCTCAAGTTTAACGAAGCTATACAGAGCGATAAAGCAAAATTGGAGTGGCCAACAAACCCCACAATCCTCACTTCTTGGAAGGATATTGTTAGTAATCTCTGTCTAGATCTATAGAAATAGAAAAGACTGTAAAGATATTTGTCTTATTATTATAAAAATAACAGTTCGTCCGTCAATGTCTGACGATGACCAATACATCCGATGAGGAAAACATTTTTTAAGCGAAGTAGAATAATTAGAATAATTAAAGGTTCAAAATAAGATGACTTGTGGTTACTGCTCTCTTAAGATTAGTGGGTTTGTTTTTCAATAGCACAGCTTAATTAATGTAATTTGTACATGCAGCTGGAATACCAGTAGGCCTATGTAACCATTTCCCCCTGAGTAATTGACTGAACATTTAAGCTTAAAAGCGGCGATACGGTATCTATGAGCCCTTGTACTTGTATGTATCAACAACCTTAGAATAAGATCTATTTATAACCTCCTTGATAACCATCGATGACCACAGCTGGTTCACATATCAACTGGCCTCTAAAGGCCTTGTTACACGTAACGACAAACATTGTACAGTTCCGAATATCGTATCATCCATCGCCCTTACAGCAAATCGCTACGTGTAGACTAACCTCAAAATTGTACTTGTCAGGTATAAAAAAAAATAGACGATAGAATGGAGACCCGATCGAAAAGCGCATGTACATGTAGGCCTACACGTATTCACACACATTCATACCCACACACACAAACTTATTAATATACATACACACACGCGCGCACACACACACACACATACATACACGCACCTGCATGCAAACACCTTGACACACTCATACACACAACATAAACGCACATTCATTCACGCACATTCACACATTCACACACACACACATACACGCACGAAGTTATTCACACACACACACACACACACACACACACAAACACACACACACACACACACACACACACACATACACACATACAAACACAGAAGCGTGCGCACTTCCTCCCTTCACTTACGACTTGAAGGTGTATTCAACACATGTGTCCAAGCTAGAGTTTTCTATTGTTTTTCGTATTTGAAACATCGCATGATGATTTTAGCGTATTCTTTTTTAATCACCCTGTATATTCACACTCACACATGA